AGTTGAAATTTAGCAGACATATTTTTCAAATGTTAATTATTAGAAAAAAATATTATTTTTAGGTTTCAGTGACTGTTATTGACTATGTAACTAATAAAATATGTCATTATGGGCTGGGTGCGGTGGCTCATGCCTGTAATCCCAGCACTTTGGGAGGCCGAGGTGGGTGGATCATGAGGTCAAGAGATCGAGACCATCCTGGTCAACATGGTGAAAATGTTGACGTCTCTACTAAAAATACAAAAAATTAACTGGGCATGGTGGTGCGTGCCTGTAATCCCAGCTACTCAGGAGGCTGAGGCAGGAGAATTGCCTGAACCCAGGAGGTGGAGGTTGTGGTGAGCCGAGATCGCGCCATTGCATTCCAGCCTGGGTAACAAGAGAGAAACTCCGTCTCAAAAAAAAAAAAAGTCATTATGGTATTTTTAGGTTAAAAACCTCTCCAAATTCATTTTGGTTTTTCAAATGTTCTAAATTCTAGTGTGTAAATATTATAATAATTTCAAAGTATTGAAGTTTTGGTGTGGGTGGAGTTCCTTCTCTTTGGATTAGTTTCTAAAACTTAATGAAATGGAAAGCAAGTGTCTTTTCCCACTGGAAAAAAAGGTTACATTTTATTCCTTATTGTACCGAGACCCAAATAAAATAGAAAAATCAGAAATAAGAGTGCCAGAATTTTTTCTTTCCAATATAGCTTCTTAGAATTGTGCTGAGTTGCTTCTGCTGTAAAAACTGGACCAACTAGTCGATTATGGATATTTTATAGAGAATTTCTGTACTTTTTTGGCTCAGCAGGGTCAAGAATTTTAAATTAGAATTAAAGAACTGGAAGGCATCCTCTTATTCATTTCACAGATGAAAGAACTGAAGTCCTGAGTAGTCATGGTTTCTCCAGGATCACACAGTTAATAGTGAAGGTTGGATGAAGTAAGAACCTCCTGGCCATCAGTTCAGTGATCTTTGTAAAAGACGGTTTATTTTCACCATCACTTTACGTGCAATGTCTGTAATTTATTGCATTAGGTCAGTTAGCACATTATAAGTTTGCATTTAATCTGCTAAAACTGAAGGAACAGTTTTAGAGTGCAAAGTAATGGTTAAGGGCAGGGTTCCTCAATGTTAGGATTAGGAATACTGGCAGTGACAAAAATCACGGATGGCAGGAAGCATGTTGAAGAATCTTTAGCTAGTGTGGGAAATGTTCTTTCATTAGCCTCTGATCCTGCTGTCTGGAAGGAACTTCTTTGTTTATTGTTCTCAGGACCTGATTCTGCCTTCTGCAAGGTCTTCCTTGCCCATTTTCCTCTAATGTCACATATATGTGGACATTGGCGAACATGCCCTTTGTGGAGACTATAGTCTTTGTTTCCTTCTTTCTGTTCTTTCAATTCAGGGAGCTTGAGCATTGTTTTAAGGGTGAAACAGTCAAAGGCTTATAGGTATCACTTGTGGGGTTTTGGCAATGCCATTCCTCCAAAACCGAGATGGCTTTTGACCTCTTGTAGTTAATATCATGTGCTAGCATTAGAGTGACTGTGTGGCCCAGGCTCGCAAGGGCAGTCTTAACTTATACCTCTTGTCTTGGCATGTTAAGTAATAATGCTTTCTTCCACTCTCAAAACTACCCCAGTTTAGACAACATATGTTATGGTCATTCTAGCCAGTAAGCACACCAAAAATTCCCAAGCCTAATATATTTTGTTGCCTTATTTTTATTTTCTTCTCTTTCAACTTACTGGTGGCTCTTGTACGGCCACCAAAAATGGGTTTTGTGGAAAATTAACCTACTTAACTTGATTTGCAACAAGGCTGAGTCCCTCTGTTTGCCTGAGAAAACATAATGGACCAGTTTTGCTCAGTCTTTTTCTGTCTTCTTTTTTACCATATGAGATCCAGTACCATCAGCTCTTCTAACCCTGGGAGCTCCCCAAATTTCTGAATTTTCTGTTTCCTTTCATTTCTACTCTCAAATCTGTCAGTGTTTGCCTGTGCACATTTCTTTCTTTTAATTTTTGATAAGTGCAACAAGTAGTACTTTGTTATTCTAATATTGTTTTTCATCTCTTTTCTCCATGGGCTTGGTAGACACTTGTTCTGCTTTTGAAGTTACATCAGGCATTTTTAAAATTGAGATATAACTTACATAGAGTAAACTCACATACTTACATAGAGTACATAGAGCTTACATAGAGTAAATTCTTAATTGTTGAGTTCAGCGAGTTTCAACAGTTATGTACATCCATGTAACTACTACCCAAAATATGATATCAAACATTTCCATTGCCCAAGACGGGTGTTCATTTCCAGTTAATTTCTTACTTTAAACCTCTGGAGGCAACCACGTTTTCACCTCAATCACCAAGGATTAGTTTTGGCAAGCAATATTTTTAGTAAGTATTTTATGACTATATGACGTAAGTACCTTTCTGTCCTTTTCTCAGTTTCTTCATCTCCTGCTGTTTGGCTGCTAGCAGTCACCATATATTTTAGTTTCTTTAAAGTCAGCACCCTCCTCAAAAATACCATGTTTTTGTATTAGGGAAAGCCAGCTATTATAATAAATGTACTCCAAATTGTATAATAGCTTAAATCCAATTAAAGTGCATTTATTGCTAATGAAGCAGTGCATTGAAGGCATTCTTGATCATTTGGTGACCTTCCATAAAGTGGACTTTGGAGTCCTCTGGCAGCTGGAGAAAGAGAGCATGAATATACCTTACCTGCTTCTGAGGAACCTTAACCTGGTGGTTGTCATTTAGTCATTCTCACTGACGGAGAACTACTCACAAGGCCATATCTGATACAAGGTAAACTTTGCCTGGGCAACCACTTCCCAATGCCAGCTCCCACACTGTAAAGGGGATAGCAACCTTCAGACAGGTTAATGTGGTAACTTCTATTTTGTTTTAATAACATAGTACCGTATGGCACCTCTTTCTTGTCTTTGGGTTACTTCTTTGTCTTTGTATTATATATTCTTTTATACTTTCTGGATAAACATTTTCAGTATTTGAAACTTTAAAAAATCATATTGTTATCTCTGTGGTGGAAATGTTCAAAGCAAAAACAACTTATCTTCCCCAGATTATTCTGTGAAATTAAAATTAGTTCTGGGTGTCAACAGATGTAATCTAACTCTTAAAAGATAAAGCTGCCAAGTATCATCATTTCTGTTTGGTATTGTATCAGAGATCCTAGCCAGCAGAGCAAGTCAGGGTCAGGGGTGAGGGGCGGGAGACAATGACAAGAAAAGATGTAGGAATGGAAAGGGAGAAAAACACTGTCATTATTGGCAAGTGACTCAACTTTCTATATAGAAAGCTCCTAGAACCTGGCAGCTAAATTCTTAAAATTAGAGAATTTAGCAAAGTTTTCAAATGTAAAGTTATTATAGGAAAGCCAGTTGCATTTCTGTAGACCAGCAACAACAACAAAACAGAAAATTTAAAAACAACTTTATTTTGAAATAATTAACATTCTACATAGCTGTAGTATAGTTAACAAAATTAACATTTGCATACTAATATTAACTAAACTACAGCCTTTATTTCGATATTACCAGTTTTTCTACTGATACTTTTTTTTTTCATTTCAGGATCTAACCCAGGATACCATATTGCATTCAATAGCCATATCTCTTAAGTCTATTCCAATTTAAGGCAATTTCTTGATCTTGTCTTTCAGGGATTTGATACTTTTGAAGTTTAGTGGTCAGGTCTTTTGTAGAAAGGATATCAATTTGAGTTTGGTGTTTTCTCATTGTTATATCACAAGTAATCTCATATATCAGGCAGTAAATGAAATCAGTATTGAAACCCACCCAGTTGTCCCATAGATAGTTTTTTGAATAAAAATTGACCCTTCTGGTCTTAAAGCTGGAAATTAGATTTCTTTTATCTGAGTTCCGTTCTCAGGAAATGACCTTCAGGCTTCTAAAAATAAGTATCAAAGAACTGAAATGCACCAGATCACCACATCCAAACCATGAAATGTGGGATCCCCCCATTCATCATGATTACTTCCTTGCCCCTCCAGAGTTCCTGTTTTCTCACACATTGTTACGTTTCTTCCCTGGTATGTAAATCCCTAACGTAGTTGGTTAGGGAGATGAATTTGAGATTGAGCTACCATCTGCTTGGCTGCAGTACATGGTTAAAGCCTTCTTCCTTGGCAACACTCGTTGTCTCAGTCATTGGCTTTCCAGCAGTGGAGCAGCAGGACCTAGACCAAACTTCTGGTGTTTCAGTAACAAAATGACTTATTACTGGTCATGTTAACCTTGATCACTTGGTTAAGGTGGTATCTACAAGACTTTTCCACAGAAAAGTTACTACAGAAATGTAATTTTTAAAAGATATAATTTATATAGCAACATACTACAAATATCTTTTGAAGAACTCTAACAAGTATTGTCTAAGTCCTTCACTGAAAAGTTATAAACTTTTATTGAAAGACATTAATGGATTAGAAGATTTAACATGGCAAAGATGTTAATTCTCTCTCATTGTACATAGAATCAAATCCCTAACAGATTTTGAGATTGTATGATTACTATTAGTATTATTATTTGGATGATACTTGACATGATAATTCTGAACTTAAATGGAAGAGCAATCATCCCATAATCACATTATTCCTATAGAAAGTGTTTTTCCTCCTATCAAGGAAGTACTTTTTGCTGCCTATATATAATGACAATATAAAAACTATAGTAGTTAAGCCAGTGTATGGTATAAGCATATACAGATTGGCAGATGAAAAAAATAGAAAATTTACAAAGAGATCCACCCATAGGTGGAAGCTTGATTTATGACAAAACAGGTGTGTGTTGAAGATCAGTGGGGAAAAAAGGTGTGTACAGCTTTCAGTATATGGTGCTGAGGCAATAGAGTGTCCATATAAAAAAAGATGGAAAGTGGATTCTTACCTCATCATACACAAAAGGGGAAGAATTAAAATGTTAGTAATTATAGTTATAAAATCTAAAATTATGCATTTAGAAGCAGAACTCGGGAAAGAAATTGAAGAAGAAAACAAAATTGTGAAATGAAAACAACATTGGAAGGAGTACAAGAGAATAAGATGATCTAGGAAAAACAGTGAGGTCATGGAAATTTGGCAAGAGAGAGGTGAGCAAAGTCAAATACACATTTAAAACAGTGACATAATACCTGAGCTTTAAAATGTCAGTGTTTACAATATGATAGAAATACTGCATCACTTACTAACTTTGCTCATTCTGTTGAGTTATATGCCAGAAATCATAATGCGATCTACAAATTATTTAATGATGTTTCTACTGACAACTCAGTTACACCGTCATTTGTAGAAAGTAAAGGCCTAGAAATCACTTAACTTGGAGAAGAATTTGCTATCACTTTTTCAGTTTGGGGAAATTTATCAAAAAGACTTAACTAAGACTTATCAAATGACAGTTACACTTACTACTCTTTTACTTGGGGGCACCCTGTTTAACTCAACATACTTAGAAAGGGTTGTTTAAAATATTATTAATTCCAGTGTATACTTGGCAATATATAATTTTTAGACGATGATTTTTCTTTTTTCATTTTTTTAAAATGAAGTTTCACTTTTGTTGCCCAGGCTGCAGTGCAATGGTACAATCTCAGCTCACTACAACCTCTGCCTCTCAGATTCAAGCAGTTCTCCTGCCTCAGCCTCCCAAGTAGCTGGGATTACAGGTGTCCGCCACCATGCCTGGCTAATTTTCTGTAGTTTTACTAGAGACATGGTTTCACCATGTTGGCCAGGCTGGTCTCTAACTCCTGACCTCAGGTAATCTGCCCACCTTGGCCTCCCAAAGTGCTGGGATTACAGGCATGAGCCACTGCACCCGACAGCAATGGTTTTTCTTAATTTATTCCTCAAATGTATTTTTACCAGAACGTTGCAGCTATAGGGAACTTTAGGGAAAATGGTTGCCATTTACTCTAATTGACAAAGCTGGTATTTATTTTCAAACTTGTATTTTAAATCAGACATCCTTCTGTCAGTAAAAGACCCACTTGATTTTTCATCTCAAATAAATATGTTAATATATGCCTCCATGACAGCCGTCACATGGCTGAATTCTAATTCTAATATAGATTAAGCAGAGAAGGCACAGAGCCTTACTTACCATGTGTTGCCTGGATACAGTAAGATGCTGCTGCCTTCGGTGTTTCTTTGCTTTGCACTCACTAAAGTCTCCAGAGAGATACTTCTTTAACACTAACAAGAGTATGGAAGAGGTAATCCATATAAGTAAAATGTCCTCACAGTATATTGTAGAACTGCTTCACTCTGCAATACACTTGATTTACCATATAATAATATGGGCCAAATACTCCATTTCTTAACAGGGTCTGGATGAGACATGGAAAGAACAACGCCTTACTGTAGTGCTTTGATTAAAGGAGGTTTCATAGATAGCATTGTTGTAATTTTTCCCATTTATGGAACCCTGGAGGTTTTTATATCCCAGGAGGTATACATTTCTTTTGTGAAGTGAGAAGAGAGGCTGCATGATGCCTTGGCTGCCTGTACACTCTCAGAAAGATTGGTATTAGGAAAAATGAGAGTTGAGGACTTGGAAATAGATTGCCCTAAAACTATGCCTACATATTTCTTACAAAGCATTAGAGCAGCCTCAGATGTTTCTCAGTTTCAAGACTATGGATACATATGGCAGGCAGAATAGAGCCATAATACGCACAATCGTAGACCCAACAAAAAGTCCAAACTTAATGAAAGAAAACCAGTGTTTAGAGCATAAACTTTTCTGAAATAAATGACAACTTGAATCTAAACATTGAAAGGACACACTGTGTGCTTGGGTCTAGAAAAGTTGCTGGACCTCAGAGATAAAATTTTGGGAGGGAGCCAGAAAAATAGGTCAAGATATTTATAAAGAAAAATTATGTTGCCCTCAGATTTCATTCAGTGGAAGAAAATAGGCCATACTTAAAAGATTTTAAAGAAAAGAATAGGTAACTTATGGATTTTTATATCTGTCCAAATAGTCCTTCAACTATAAGTCATAGGCAAATAGGTTTAAATTGAGAAGAATATATAGATGATTTCTTTGAGCCTTTATTAAGGCAATACTGGAGGACAGACCTTTTTTACTCAACATTGAAAGGTAAAGATGTACTTGAAGCTGCTGACCAACCACGTAAATACACTTGTTTGCATACAGGTTCAACTTCTTTAGCACAAAGATGAAACAATAAGTTATCGTGATCCCCATCTTCAAAGGTTAGTTCATTGATGAAGTACAGAATCTTGAGCATGGAGTGTGTTTGATACCACAAATGCTGTTACCAAAACTCTTCCCAAGAAACATTGTTTGTTTCTTTCTAGGTAAAACAAATTAAATCTGTAAAAGATCTTGTATGCTTGAGTTAGAAAAACACCGAATATATTTGTGTTGGGACAAAAGTGAAATATAACACTCCTGCCACTTTGGAACAAAACTACATGGTTTGTGAACTGTAGTAAAATTCATTAAATATTCCTTTTCGACAAGCCATGTGCAAAAGAGTATTATGGTTTTTTCCAGTGGTAAAGAAAAAGCCAAATATCTTAATCAAGTTTTTTGCTGGCTATACTCTGCTATTTCTGTTCTTGACCTCTATGGTTGACAGCAGCAGAGGAGAAAAATGAAGTCTGTAGTAAGGTTATCTGTAAGAGAGCTGCAGTGCTCTTTATTACTGATCCTGCAGCCAGGGTGCAGGATACCCAGGTCATGAATTGGGTTCTTTGGTTTGATTGCCCAGAGGATGCCAACTTATATTCCCAGGGCAGATCGATCTGCCAGGTAAAATGAGGATGGTGAAGTTGTATTAATTTTATTTCTCTCAGAAGAAAAAAAGGATGGCATAGCTGCTTCTCAAGTAGAGAGTACCTATGAAAGAAGGAAAAATCAATCCAGAAAAACTTAGGGTCATCTAGAAAATACTGGAGTCCCTTTTAGCCGAAGATCAACCATTGAAAGGACAACCTCCAAAGGTGTTTCATTACCTGTGTACATTAGTGTAACTGATAAGTATTTGATTTGAACAAGTTATCTCTACCTGAATATGTCTGTTTTTCTTGTTATGACACTTTGGATAAGGTCTCTGCAGAAAATATAAAAACAACTGACCAAAGAGGTTAATGAGAATGCAGCTCTTATCTCTTACCATTGACTACATGGAAGAACTTAGAGCCTATTTCAACAACAATATGCTCTTCATCCTTTAGTCAGATCAAAAGAGGCCAGAAGCAGGAGGGGGAGGAGTACACGCTGGCCAATGGTATTAGTAATGAAGAGGGAGAGGAGGAGAAGAAAAGAGGCAGATGAGGCAGAAGATGGAAGAAAAAGTGGTGAAAACAGAGGAGCCTCAAACTCAGTCTGCGCCTAATACTGATGAGGCACAGAAAACTGAGGAAATTTCTATAAAGTTCATGAACACAAATGAGGAGGCTGAAGGTGGCCCAGATGCTGATTTCTTTAAGGAGAGATAGGGCCACATGCTTGAGTTGGTTAGACCTTGAAGAGAGTACATCGTAAAATAAAAAACTGTTGTCTGGGTGTGGTGGCTCATGCCTGTAATCCCAGCACTTTGGGAGGCTGAGGCCAGCGGATCCTGAGGTCAGGAGTTTGAGACCAGCCTGGCAAACATAGTGAAACCCCTTCTCTACTAAAAATACAAAAATTAGCTGGGCACCATAGAGTTTGCCTGTAGTCCCAATTATTCAGAAGGCTGAGGTAGGAGAATTGCTTGAATGCAGGAGATGGAGGTTGTGGTGAGCCAAGATCACACCACTACACTCCAGCCTGGTGACAGAGCAAGACTCTGTTAAAAAAGAAAAAAGGGCCGGGCACAGTGAATCAAGCCTGTAATCCCAGCACTTTGGGAGGCTGAGGCGGGTGGATCACGAGATCAAGAGATCAAGACTGTCCGGGTAAACATGGTGAAACCCCGTCTCTACTAAAAATACAAAAAAAAAGCTGGGCATGGTGGCGCGTGCCTGTATTCCCAGCTACTCAGAAGGCTGAGGCGGGAGAATTGCCTGAACCCAGGAGGCGGAGGTTGCGGTGAGCCGAGATCGCGCCGTTGCACTCCAGCCTGGGTAACAAGAGTGAAACTCCGTCTCAAAAAAAAAAAAAAGAAATAAAAAAAGAAAAAAGATTTTACTGACAAAGGGAAGTAGGTTCAGCGTGCCCAGCCATGCAGAAATCCATCTGAAAGGATCCTTAGGAAGAGTATTATAGTGGTATAAACGTTGAAAAAGCAAAAGAAAGGCTTCAGGAAGTAGAAAAATATGACAAAGAAGAGTAGAGGAAAAAAGACAAAGCATATGGAGAAAAGACTTGAAAAGGAGATGCCAACAAGGCCAGAGATGAAGGGAATGTCTTTGGGGATCTCAGTGGTAATAATGGGAAATTTGATTAATTCACTCTCAGATCCTTGTATGTACAGAGGTCTGAAGAATCAGATAGTGAAGATACAGAAAATAAAATGAGTAGTTCCAGGACAAAGCATTGAAGGAAAAAAAGGAGCCATAGTAAAGTGGAAGATGTGAAACTACTATTATAACAAGTTGCAAATGAAAGAAGACCAAGTGGGAATCCTCAGCATCTCGGGAGACAGTTCTGTCTTTAGCAGAAGACATAGAGCTGAAGTTTTATCTAAGGGCTTAAACGATATCTGCTCAAAATCAAAGCTAAATACTTCCTGCTCTTCTCCTCTCCTTGAAACCTGTAGTCATGACTGTGTGGGCCAGATGTCAAAAAAGCTTTGGCCTTGGAGTAGTTAGATGACATAAGTCCTATACCTAAAAGATCAGTGCAACTGCAGACTGAAGTAATGAATGGTATGTCTGGCACCCCTCTTCCCCATCAGAGAATCTCTGTAAAATGTGAGTGGATTATAAAAATTTGCCACCCCCATTTCCAACGTGTATATTGTTAGATTTTATCCATTCCTTTATTTTACTGCCAACTTATAGAGTCTCTGTTCATTTGTAGAAATTCTAATTCATTTGTAGAAATATAATACAGAATGTAGTATATACTATTTAATATTAAACAAACTTTCTCATGATTTTGATTCATTTAATGTTTCCAAGGAGTGACAATGTG